ATAATGTCATCCACTTCCTGTGCCGGGAGAGAGCATTTGCTAAATCCAGGTTGTCTCATACTTAACTGCCAATAAACCAACTTCCACATAACTTCCAGACAGCTGAGGAAAAGGTCCTCGGAGTTTTAGTCATGGTCCAGAAACACGCGTCCTCACAAAAGTTTGCAGCTGTCCTTTCTCTATACTGCATTTTTAATGGGATTCGGGGGCCCCTATCGTGAAACATCTGACAAAATATAAAATCCACTTGGATCCCTTCGCGTTGACCCACTGTGCACGGCGAAGAGAAAAGCCGCACCAGATCTCACCACTGAGCCGTGGAGGCACTTTCTGCAGGCACACAGGCACCTGGGGAGGGGTGGGGGGGGGGGGGGGGACGTAAGGCAGCATTCAAAACCTGCAAAGACCTCCCGGGTCCTCTCTTTAAGAGCACGGCTTCTGGTGCAACGCCTAAAATGCGAGTTGGCTACAGCCAATTCTGCTTCACTGGCACGCTGAATTGCACTGCTCACAGGACAGCATTCTGGATCTGCTCGCTCCCCGGAAACCTTCCTGGAACTTTTTCACAGCTTGCTAAGAACCAGAAAGCGGACCGGCTTCCAGCAGAGACTCTAAATGAAATCCGCATATCGGTCCAATTAAAAACCAAGGTGGAAAACCCCTAGCAAGAACCGGGGTTGTTTTCCTCACCGACCTTCCCTCCATCGGACAGGGGACATCCGCCAAACAGGGCCCTACGGCAGCCCAAAGTTTCCCCAAACACTTCTTAGGCTCCCAACTTGCCCCCTACGTTGTTTCTGGGTTTTCCACGAGCTTTCATTTCAACAGACTGCAAAGCGCTAGCATATTAAATTTATAATCATTAAAATATGACTTATTGGGTGAATGTTGAGCCCATAATCCATACTGCAGACATTAAACCTCAACCTATAAAGATTAGCACGGCATTAAGACAGTTGCCCTGAGATTGAAATCTAAACATGTTCGCCATAAATATTTCTGAAGGAGATGAAAAACAATTAGCATAAATACCAAAGAAGGGCAAGAACACCTGTTCTTTTTCAGGGCGATAAGCATTTTATTGTTCTCTATTTAAAATGTAATGACCTGTGTAATTACAGTAATATTACATTGTTATGTAGGGGCCTGGAATGTCACACTTTGAAAAGTGTTGTCAAAACAATCAGGGATAAAGTGGGGGGGGGGAGGTGGAGAAGAGGACAAGGGAAGGACCACCATTAACCCTTCACACTCCGTGCTCTCAACCTTTTGTATTAGGAAGGATTATGTTGTTTGAATGGGGAGAAAACATCCAATTTTCCCCGAGCCAGAAAGAGAAGTTGTTGCCCGGCTACATAAAACCCCAGTGAACAGGCCCCTCTCGGTTTCCTTGAAATGCTGGATTCCAAGTGGGAAAAAATGAATTCAAGCTGCTGCTTATTTATTTGTTCAGACTAGTAGCAAATAGCTCGGTTTAAAAAAAAAAAAAAAGACTTTGGAAAACAGAAGATTCCGAGTTCGAAAAACCAACTCCTGAAAGAGAAAATTGTCACGCCTAACTGGAATGGTTACCACCTTATTCCTATTTCTCCTGTTTGGCGGAGGGCAAAAAAAGAGAAATTGGACGCTGACTTTCTCCTACTACCTTCCAGATGGTAAAAGTATTCTTATCGTTCGTATACAAATGCTCCCTCCATTGTAATCCGTGTGCTCCTTCCCTGCCCAGCTACTCTCTTAATGCACCTTTGTATCTGAATCTGCCTGGTTAAAAAGCCATCCCTAGGACTGTATCAAAGGCTTAAATTAACGGTATCTTCTGTGTATCAGAGACGCAGACATCTTGGTCATTTTAAAACTATTACTCTATCAATCTTCACAGCGTCTTCAGCAATGAAAGCCTTATTCTTGGGAGAGTGACATTATTCACCACAAGCCGCCTGAATGACACTACTACATTCTTAAGGAGAAAAGCGGAAACCGGGGTTCCAAAGAGTTGGCTTTCTAAAGGATGCAGCTGCTTACAGGTACCTTCAAGTAACAGACAATGTTCCCCACAGACAAGGAGGGTTGGGAAAAAGAATAAAGAGAACTCTGCCGCCCCCCCCCCAAAAAAACCCACACTCTGTAGCACGGAGAATTTCGGATGAGCATATAAAAAGCCCGCTCTCTTGCCTATAGATTCCTCCGGCAGCTGTATCAAATCCGGAATTGCAAGCTGGCGCTGCGATCGAAAACGTCAGGAGTGACACACAACAGCCTCCCATCCTCATTTCCACCGGTCTGTGCAGCCCAAATAAATAACTTTAATTTGGGAGCACATAATCGAAGCCAGGTAACAGGAAGCAGGCAGAGGCGGGGCACACGAAGATGTCTGTGAGTGTTTGACATGCAAATACTAAAATTGCCTACTGAGTTCAGATATGTCTTCTCAAACTCCATCTGATGTCACAGCACGCGGCCACCCGCTAGGTCCACAATTAAAATAACTAGGGGCTGGCTCTTCCTGTAATGCCCACCAAGGGGACAGAACGTGGTGACGCCTCCCTTTTCACACCGGGAAATCATTTATTTGCCTTTAACAATTTCCTTGTATCTCTAATGACACCACAAACACAACTCTTCAAGTTTTAGGGGACTGCCTGGCCAAATAAGCAGCAGTTGCAAACGGGGAGTTCTGCAAAGAGCCAGCAGCCCAGCAAGCCGGCCACCAAAGCTCGCTGCTCAGAAAGCCTTTCAGATGGCTAAGTGGGTTTTAAAATAAAACCAAGGAGGCTTCCATGCAAGGAGGTTGGGGGGGGGGGAGGTAAGAAATTCTCAGGGTTACTCTGGAATGTTGTTGGTTTGGGCTGGCCAGTCCACCAGCCTTGGGAGCGAGTGAAATGCTCCCGGTTTAAGATCCCCACAAGCTCCCAATGGAAAAAAAATTTTTTTTAAAATACGAAAGAGCTGGGCTGTGCTTCTCTCCAACTGCAGCCGGTGGCCAGGGGCCCCGCAGCTGGACAGGGAAGGGGCCGGCGCTGCTAGAGGCGGTAGGGCTGAGTCGCAGGGCAGAAGCCCAGGCACCGGAGTGCGAGGGGTGAGGGGTGGCGGGGGATAATTATTTTTCTTTTCTAGCTATAAAAAAAAAATGACCGGTCTAGCATGCCCTTGTCATTTTTTTTTCCCGGGCCCAAAAAAACAAGTCAAACCTGATAGTTAATATTTTAATGCTTAAAAACACTTGTAGATCTGATCGACTCCGGCCAGCAAGCCTTTGGCCACTAGCACCGCGGCTGAACACTGGGTGCATTATTTCAAATCGCTATCTCGAGTTACCCAAAGAGAAGAAACAAAACTAGTGTGTGTAAATACAGAGTGGAGGGGAGGGGGGTGTGGGGTGGGGTGAGGGGGGGGAACCAAAGCAGAGAACCGGGCAAAAATGACAAGCCCGGAAACGGAGCACCAACGTCCAGAGGTTGGTAATTCAGGCTTTGGCCAGGCAAGCGCGCTGGGGGAGGGGGTTCAGGGCGAGGGCAGGGGCAGAGGCCGGTCCGGAGAGGGGATGAACCTTATTAATGAATGTCAGGAGTGGGCGCGGAGCTCCGAGCAACACCCCGCGCCGTCCTGGGAGCCCCGGAGTTTGACTGGACCCAGATGAGGCAGCTCCCTGCTTGGAAGGCCAGGCGCCCTGGGTCCCCCTCACCTTCTGCAGCCAGCCCCTAGGGCTCCTGCACCCTGGGGGGGAGGGTGGCCTGTCCCCACCCCCAGGGCCCAACCGAGGGTCTCCTCCGAAGCAGGCAAGCACAGACCTCGCTACCAACCTCTAGGCACCAAAACGCCCTTTTACAACACACACACACACACACACACACACCGAGTCTGCAATGAGGAGGCCATCCGGGTTGCACACCAACCCCAAACCCCGGCCGTGGGGGGCTCCCCGTCCCCCCGAGAAGCAGAGAGCCAGGCTAGTGCGCCCAGAACGCTGAGACCTCCCCGGCGCCCAGGGCGCTCCAGGCCCTGCGGGGTGACCCAAGGGGAGAAAAAAAATATATAGACTCCCAAAGACCCCCCCCCAAGTTTGCAGAGTTGGCAGCTTGGGGAGCGCGACCTTCCTGGGGGTCGGGGTGGGAAGGGGACCCCGAGAGCCGGCGATGGCCACTCGGACACCAAACAGATGAGCGGCCGACAGAGGCAGCCGAGGCGGTGCAGGGCCCCCCGGGCCCCGCGTGCGCCCCACTCCCTCCAGCGCCCGGAGGAAAAAAATCCTCATCCCCCCCCACCCCCACCCCCCAGGCAGCCCGCGCGCGCCGCCGGGCGCAGCACAGTCCCGCCCCGGGCCGCGGCAGCCAAGGGGTTAAGCAGGGAAAGCCCAAGACGGCCCAGAAGAGGGAAGGAAGAGAGCGAGAGCGAGGGAGCGAAAAGAAAAGAGCCACACAGTCCTCTTCCCAGGGCGGAGAGAGCAATCACAATCACCACCACCACTACTACCACCGGCACCGGCACCAGAACCGACACCAGCACCAGCAAGCAGGGGGAGGGGGGCAAACCTGGGCGGCATATAAAAAAAAAAAAAAGAGGAGGGGAGGGAAAAAAAAAGGCAGGGGAAAAAAAAAAACAAAATAAAAAGTTCTGCTGCTTTCCGCGCAACCAACCTCCTTCCTCTCCCCCACCTCCCCTTACTTTCCCACCCCCTCCAAGCCCCGCCACCGCACCCCCCAAGAGAGAGAGCGAGCGAGCCCGGCTGGGCCAGGAAGGACGCCCCCCACCCCACCCCACCCCTCAACCTCCCGAGGCGGCAGAGCCCACTGAAAGCGAGAACATGGCGAAGTGCAAACACACGCCGTCCACAAAAGGCAGCAAAAGTTTGCAGAGTTGCGGGCCGGGCCCGGGCGGGCGGGCGGGGGAGGGGCGCGCGCGGGGGGAAGGGGGAGGGGCGGGGGCCGCATGCGGGGGGGCGGCGGCGGCGGCGGCGGCGACGGCGGCGGCGGCGGCGGCGGCGGGGCGGGGCGGGCACTTACGGTCCGGGCGGTGGGCGAGAGCGATCCGTTGGGGAGGTAGGGGCTCGTCAGGTCGGGGATCATGATGAAGGGGTAGCCGGGATACGGTGGCCCCTTAAAGAGCCCTCCATCTTGCCTCTTGGCCGCTAACATGGCGGGGCGGCGGGAGAGACCGGGAGAAAACTTTTTTTAGAGCGTGGCCCGAGTGGCCGGCCGCCCCCCCCACCTTCATAACCTCCCCCCCCCCCACAGCACATGCATGCATACACACACACATACACGTACACGCATGCACACGCATGCACACGCGCGCACACGCGGGCGGGCCCCGCGCGGGGCTCCCCGCCGGCCCGGAGCAGGGCGCGGGGCGCCCGGGGGACCCCCCCCGCGGGACCCGGCGGGGGTGGGTGGGTGGCGGGGGGAGAGGACGTGGGAGCGGGGAGGTGGGGGGGTGCCGATGCAGGTCCCCCGGGGGGCGCGCGGGGGCTGGACTCACCTTCTTCCAAACTTTCCCGGGATTTGTCTCGGAAACTTTCGGAGCGAGGCGGAGGCCGTCTTTCCGCCTTCCCGGAGAGGCAGAGGTGGGCACGGGCGAGGTGGGCACCGAGCCACGCAGCAGGGCAGCGGGGGAGACAAGGGGGCATCGGCGGGAGCGGGGGGCGCGGGTGGGGGGAGAAAAACAAGGTTACAAGTTTCTGCCGCGGTGCCACTTCCATGCACCCGGCGCCCGGCCCCGCCGGCCCCGCCGCCGCCGCCGCCGCCCCCCGGCCTCGATTTCTCCCCGGGAAGCCCCATTTGCCAAAGCCCTGGGAAATAGATTTCCAAACCCCCGCCGGCCCGAGGGGCTTTTTTTCCTACCTCGGAATCGGAGGAGCTGTTTTGATTCGTTTCTGATTCATTGACGAGAGACGATTTGACATCGGCTAAATCCCTCTCCGCCGAGGAGTTTTCGGAGCTCTTCTCCTCCTGCTCGCCCTCGTCTTTGAAGGAAATCAGTTCGTCGTTGGCGCCTAGGTCATCTCCTCCACCGCCGTTCAGCTGCGGCATTTTTTTTTTCACCCACCAGCAGCAATTTTGGAAGAAAAATGAAGGAGGAAGAAAAGCCAAAAAAAAAAAAATAATCCCCCAAAAAAGTTTCCCCCCCCCCGAAAAAAAAAAAGATTTTGCAAGAAAAAGACGAGTCCAAGGTGAACTTTTTTTTTTTCTCTCTGCTTTGGGGTCTTTTTCTCCTGGGGAGGGGAAAGAGGGAGGAGGGGAGGGGAAGGGGGGGAGATCTTCTGCACGCGTGAGTTTAGGTTTCTTTTTTTTCTCTCGTTCCCAAGGATCCGATCAATGTGCAAAAAAATAATAAATAAAAAAAAAGGGGGGTAAAAAAAAAACACCAACAACAACAAGAAGTCAGATATAAAGAGCAAAGGGGGGGGAAGCCGAAGATACAGGAGGAGCTCGTGCCGCTCGGATTTGAGTGAGTTGAAGTTAGACTGAGAGCTTTTCAGTTCAAAGGCGGCGCTGATTGACAGATAGAAAAAGGGGGATCGAAATCCGGAGGAACGGAGTAGTCTGGGAGCGGAGATTATTGACAGGGCGAGAGGAACACACTCGCTTAATGAGATGCCGGGGGGCGGGGCCGGGCCGGTGACGTGTGCATAAATAAACAGCCGGGGTGGGCGGGGCGGGGGCGGCTAACAATGATCCTTTCGGGCGCCGGGAGAGGGAGGAGGGAGGGGAGGAGGGGGAGCGGCGCGGGGAGGAGTGTGCAGGGGGAGCGGCCTGCCTGCGCCCGGGGTGTGTGTGTGTGCGTGTGCGTGTGTGTGTGTGTGTGCGCTTGTGTGTGTGTGTTGTGTGCGTGTGTCCGGGCTAGGGGACCCGGGCTGGCTCCGGGAGGGCGGGGAGGAGTGGGGGGGGGGGGGTGGAGGTGGGGACGGGGGGGGGGGGCGGTTTCAGAAAGACAATGCGGGGTGGGAGAGGAGGGGAAAAGGGGGTGGCGACCGAGTCAGGAATCCGCGCTCGGAAAGGCGGAAGGAAAGCCCACTCGGGGGGCGGGGATGGGGAGAGGCCCCGGGAAAAAAAAAAAGTGCACTTTAGAAATATTAGAAATTAGGCTGCAAGCGGGGAGGGGAGGGGGGAGGAGGAGGGAAGTGTGGTGGAACCGGGCAGCGCTGGAGTGGCTTGAGCCCGCAGTGAAGTCAGCCCCGTCCTGGGGCGGGATGGGACAGAAGTGGTGAGAAAGAGCAGCCCTCCACTTTGGGGGAGCCCCGGGAAGTGTGGAGGCCCGGCTGGCCGCAGTTCCTGGTCAGCTGCAGTGAAAGGAACTATTAACCCACGCTGCCTCCCCGCCCCTTTTTGTTTATTAATAGTGAATCGTTTCATTAAGTGTTTAAGGCTCCGTAGAATAAATACGCCAGTGTGACTTTTTCTTCACCACCACCCCCCACCCCCCGCCCCGCCACCAAAAAATAAATAAATAAAATACTGTAGGACTCCTCGTGGATGGACATGATAAATATCCTGGGGTGCTGGGGGGGAGGGGAAGGGGGGGAGACACATGATTCTTTTCTATGGACAGGGGGGGATCTTTTTGTTTTGTTTTGAAACTGCCATCATCGGAGGTGGTAGGAAATGAGAACAGATTCAAAGTCCTTTCTGACTTTGTAGGCGTCTAAGTTGGGGCGTTAACACGGCCAGGGAAAATAAAACTGAAAGTTCATCAGCTTTGCATGAGTGAGACTGGAGTTCTTCCTCAAAGGGGGGTCCAAGAGATGAACCCCCAAGGGTCAACCCGTAATCAAGGTGCAGATGCGCCCCCTCCCCCCAGGCCTGACACTGTTAGCCTGGAGGGTGCTGAACTGAGAGGGAGGAGATGGGAAATTGGGCTAGAAAGCTGCTATTTGTTGATTTTCAGGCACTAGCCTGAGGGTCAGTTAATTGCTACAAAGTGGGGAACACAATTCCGTGTAAGGGGCAAAGGCCTGCTGCCCTCCCAGTATTCCTGGAAGAAGCAAAACCACTTCTTTTAGCAACTATCCCTTGAGGAGTGGGAAAAGGGGGCCAAGAGTGGAGAGAGGGGGGAAATTAGCAAATTATCTATTAGAAACAGTGTCGTCTAGAGTCTGTGATGTATAAAGTATCCCATTCATCCCTGGGGGGTGGGGGTGGGCATCTAACTTGCTTTTCACTTAACTTGGTTCATCCTTACCTGAGGTTTCCAAAAGAAAGTGAATTTGCCATGTAATAATTTAGAGAGTTTGGGGTTTCAGCAAAACTGTTTTAGAGGCGAGGGTCTCAGGAAAAAAAAATTGCTAAAAATAATGATACCAAGATTGACAAGGCCAATGAATTCCCCTGCACAGGGAAAAAATTCACAACCGCATTTGCACACGAAAGAGTAAGATACGGGCAAAATAAAAAATGGAGGTGGGGGGGGGGCACCAGAAGAGAATCACTGTAACTCCCAACTTTAATATTAATCAGAAGTAGGGTGAGAAGGAGCCTGAAAAGAAGTAAAACAAATGTGTACATTTAATCAGACAGGATTGCATAGGATACAAAGCACAGGGCTAATTAGTCTCAGCAGGTAGGACTAACCTTCAGACTTCATAAATAAATAAGGCGGGCGCAGTGTCTGCGAGGGAGTGGAGACAGAAAGGGGATTATTTCAAGACACCAAGTAAAAACATGAAGAATGAAATGCTTCACTGTTAAATCCGTGTACAAATGGATTTAACAGTTTCCTTTTTTTCACTTGCTTGCCTTTAGATTTACACATTTAGCAAGTGTCCATACCTTTTCACACTTGCTAATTGTCACCTGTATACTTAGTGTGACTGAATCTGTCTGTGTACAACACAGGCTTCCCTAAGACCCATCGCAAGAGCTTATTTAGACTGGAACACATTTATAGTAACTCAATTTTATGGCAATTTCTTTGTCCTGTGCAGTGGTTTCTGGGTTTTGTTTTGTTTTTTTTCCCTAACCTAACAGATCTGAATGAAGTTGGATAATGAGGTCTTCTCTGCCCCACAGGACTACCTGGATACTAAAAACTCATAATTATTTATACTGCACAGCGATTCAAAAGCAGGTGCTTATATTGCTTTTAACATTCTGGACGACGTTTGTATTGTATCGCAATACTGAGGATTTCCAATGATTACTGGGAACCTGATTCCTTTGGACATATCCCTATACTTCTCATTCAGAAAAAAAAAAACTCTTGAATTTTTCCTTCGTTAAATCACTGGTTTAATTAAGCAATTAAAAGTTATTCCATAATAGCTCATGTGCCACATTTAATTTCATTGCTCAGTGCCATAAAAAAAATTTTTTTAAAGACTTGGGGAAGGCAGCCAGCAAGACCTTAGAGGGTCTATAGCCCCCAGTCTCCGCATGAGTGTTAGATGGAGCCAGGAAGCTGCAGTTGGCAAAAGAAAGGTAATGTGGTTTTTATAGGTCAGGTTGGCTCACACTGTAGCCATGCAGTGTGCAGATTTGGGTGGGAAATAGTTCTTGTATTATTTTTTATCCCCTTCCCTTCCCTTGATGCAGTCACCGAGATTTGTGTATATCACTGGCTTTGGCTGGGAGTCCCACCCTGGGCTGTGATGCTTGCACACTGCACGGTGGTGCTGAGCTCTGCGACCCTTCAGTTGCTGTGCTTGCTTGCACACCTGCTCGCCAGAGTTTGTACTTCCTGGCCATGGCACTGGTGCATCTTTTTATTTGCAGTGCTTGCTAGGGGTCACAACCTCTTGGCGGGACTCACACACCAGTGAGACCGCTCGAAATTTCTCAAGGTACTGCGGATACAGATAGCAGGAGCTGCCGGGCTCAAAGAACAGAGCAATCAGGATTGTACATTTGCATGTGGGATGCCCGGGAACTAAACTCAAAACCACTGGCTTAGGGCTGGAGCAATAGCACAGGGGGTCGGGCATTTGCCTTGCACGCAGACCCAGGTTCGATTCCAACCATCCCATAGGTCCCCTGAGCACCTCCAGGAGTAATTCCTGAGTGCAGAGCCAGGAGAAACCCCTGTGCATCGCTGGGTGTGACCCCAAAAGCAAAACACACATACACACACACAAAAAAAAAAAAAAAAAACCACACAACCACTGGCTTGCCAGACAGGTGCCTTAAGGGTCCTGCTCTTCCTCCGGGCCCTGGTGTGGGATTCTAAACAGCAGCTGGCTTTATGGAGGTGTTGAGGCACCTTGTGTGTGTGTGGGGGGGGCACTTTCGACTCCTGGGGTTGGTTTGTTCACAGTGCCAGAAGCCCATGCCTCATGAATGTAAGGCAGGTGCTCAGTGACGGCCTCAGCCCACCTCCTGGTTTAAAAACGCCACTCGCTCTACCCAAGAACAGGGGTTCTGAAAACAAGAGGAGGAAACCAAACCAGCTCTGATGTTGCCTAAATCAGGTTGTTTTGTCCCTTTGGTCTCAATTATCAAAAGATGAAGGAGAAACTGAGACCTCTTCCCTTGGACCCTTTTCCAGGGACCAACCCACGTCCTGAGCTCCTGGTAGTCTCACCCTCACCCTTACTGTTCCACCTTCTCCACATCCCTGCCACTGCCTTCAGCACCTTCATTTCTACGGCCTCCCCGCCTCAGCTGTTTGTCTCTCTCGTAAAACTCTGTGGGCCTATGTTGAAAATAGTCATCATCATTTTTCCTTTAAAATTGCAGCACATAGGGACCAGAGAGAGAGGAAGTACGTCAAGTGAGACACTTGTCTTCCACATAGCCAACCTGGTTTGGATCCGCGGCATCCACCCTGGTCCCCTGAGCTCTGCCAGGAGTGATCCCTGAGCACAGAGAAAGGAATAAGGCCTGAGTACTGCTGGGTGTGGCCCCAAGGTCAAATAAATAAATAAATAAATAAATAAATAAATAAATGCATACATACATACATACATACATACATAAAGGGAGGTGAATAGACACTCTTTCTCCCAGGACTACTTCCTGCTTTATCCTGTTTGGAAAACCTGAAGGACATTTCCATTTATGTCAATCACAATCCCAAGGAGTTGTCCGTGGGGGGTGTATCCAGTTCCCTCCAAAATACAGGAATTGGCTTAAAAGGAAGGGCAGAAATAAATAGGCCGTAGACGTGTTATCCGTGTGCCTGAGACCCATGCGGCAGGCGAAGTGGTTGCACAGAGTTTTTCTTTTTCTCTTAGGTCCTTTGAACACTCAGAGAGTTCTTGAATCTATTGTTTTAGTCCACGCCCCAGTTGTGCTAACAGGTCCAGCAACACACCAACAAAAGGGGCAGCCCACCACGTCGAGTAAAGCTGGACTTGGGGGTTTTGGAAAAGGGAGGAACATCTGCATAGATTCGGTGGAGAAGGAAGAATGGGTGCTGACAACAACTGTTACTCAGCTCCCACAAGCACGCACCAAGACTATCAAATTCCCTTGGCATCAAGGCATGCACACACGTGTTCCGAGACACGTCCTGTGTGATTGTTCTTTAAAGATCCAGGGCTGGACTTATCTGTGCTGGGGCACACACCATGCAGAAGGACCAAAAAATTTTAAAAAATTTAAAAAAAT